AGGCCTTTCAGTATCTGTCTATATTTCTGAGATGAGGTATTATGTACACTATTTACATTATTCGCACTATTGTCCTCATCTTTGTTGCCATATTTATCACAAAGTTTCGGCCCTTCAGTATCTGTCTATATTTCTGAGATGAGGTATTATGTACACTATTTACATTATTCAGACTATTGTCCCCATCTTTGTTGCCATATTTATTACAACGTTTCTACTATCCCTGGGTATATGGCAGCCCCCGCCCCCGCTCTCCCCGCCTCCAAAAAAAAAATTGGCATAGGCGGGTACAAGAGGAGGAAAACAACACTCAGAAAAAAATCTGCCTGCCTTATGTGAAGGGGTTATCAGAGAAAATACACGGGATCTACGCTCCATATTACATCAGGACAGCATTCAATTGCTGGAAGACACTTCGCCGATATTTCTCCCCAGTAACACGACAGGAAGTGGAAAAATCAGGCGTTGCTGACCACGTATGGAGAGAAAATGGAGATCACCGCGATCAGGTTGAGATCATAGACAAGGAACACCATTGAAAAATTCGTAAACTTAAGGAATCAGCACATATGCTAGGCCATAAAAATCTCCTGAGTCGACCAAGCATAGAAATGAATACAATATGGGAACCAGTAATAAGGAGTGCCAGAGAAAAGCGATAACAAGAAAAATCGCAATATGAGCTCTGGTAAAAATAATGTATGATAACAGCAAAAAGTGCAATATGAGCACTGGAGATAACTGATAACTAACATCCATTAGACATGGCACGTGGAACTAGAACAGTCTACCCCAGTGAGTGAAATAAAGGGTTCAGTTCCAGATTCCAACCCCCTGAATCGTAAACGTTGTAATAAATATAGCGACAAAGATGAGGACAATAGTCCGAATAATGTAAATAAGATTTTTATTGCAGGTAATATTTTTTTTCCTAAAAATTTATTGCTGGTAATAATTTTTTTACAAAAATCTATTGCATGTATTAAAACTTATTTTTACAGTTTCATACTGTTTTGACCCATATTTTGCGGGACAATTATTTGCCCATAGCCGGGATCCTAACAGGTGCTACAACCCCGGGTCAGGGGGACCTGGGAAGACCAGCAATTAGGTGGTGGTTCAACGCTTCTCAAGACCTGATCAGACGGCTTGCTGCTGGACGTAGTTTATCGTCTTACCCAGGACGCGGATGTAGTTTATCGTTTAACACGGGACGCCGGATGTAATTTATCGTCTTAACCAGGACGCGTACGGGTTTTGGGGTTAACTATTTGCCCATAGCTGGGACCCTAACAGGTGCTACTGCCCCGGGTCAGGGCGGATCTGTGAAAAAAACCAGTAATTAAGATGTGGTTCGACGCTCCTCAAAACCTCCTGATCAGAAGCCTTGCTGCTGAATGTAGTTTATTATCTTAGCCAGAACTCATTATGTCCTTGTGCCGAAATAAAATTTATAATTTTTAAACACCTCGTCATGAAGTCAACTAGGCTCACAGATTATTTCGATCCGCAATGAATGCTCTGTGTTTAAGGCCTTGTGCCAAACTAATAAATAATAAATATTGATGCTGTTATATTAATGGTGATATTATCGCCGAACTGTAGTTGAATCAGTGGTCTTAGCAATTTCGTCACGCCAGCTCCAATCATATGCTGTGCCATCTGTCGTAAGTTAGAAGAATTGTATTTATGATTTTCTTTGAATTGTGGCGTTCATCGGTTTTGCTTTTGGAATGTCTCTTGGTTCATTTCTTCGTTTCTTTCATTCTTTTTCATTCTTATGTGCACGCTGTGCAATACAATATGGACGCTTCTTTTTCTTTCTTTTTTTTTAATTCTCTTTTTCTTTTAGGGGTTTTCAGCTTAGGTTACCCGGGATCCTTTACCGAATTTTTAAAATAAAATAAAAATTCATTTCCATTCTTTTTTTTATCGTCATTTTTTCAGTTTATTTTTCATACACTTTCCTTTTCTTTCTTTCTTTTTTTCTTTCTTCCTTCCTTTCTTTCTTTCTTTCTTCCTTCCTTTCTTTCTTTCTTTCTTCCGAATTTTTAAAATAAAATAAAAATTCATTTCCATTCCTTTTTTATCGTCATTTTTTCAGTTTATTTTTCATACACTTTTCTTTTCTTTCTTTCTTTCTTTCTTTCTTCCTTCCTTCTTCCTTTCTTTCTTTCTTTCTTTCTTTCTTTCTTTCTTTCTTTCTTTCTTTCTCGATTTTAGTCCACTATTACATCCTTGCATATATATATCTTCTTACCTTTTTTCTTACGTATATTATCTTTTTCTTTCTTTTCATCAATTTTCTATCATTCTTTCTTTCACTTTTTCTTTCTTTGTTTCTTTCTTACATACATATTTACATTTCTTTCCTTTTTAGATATATCTTTTTATTTTTTCATTTTTTTTACTTCCTTTTTCTTTTACATATTCCCTTTTATTCTTTCTTTCTTTCTTTCTTTCTTTCTTTCTTTCTTTCTTTCTTTCTTTCACCAAAACCTATTTTCTTTTTCGTTTCCTTTTTTAACGTATATTCTTTCTTTCTTTCTTTCTTTCTTTCTTTCTTTCTTTCTTTCTTTTTTTTTTTTCTTTTTTTTTTTTTCTTTTCTTTTATCTTTCCTTTTTCCAAAACATATTTTTTTTTTTTTCCTTTTCCTTTCTTTCCTTTTTTTTCCAAAAGACCATTTTCATTCTTTTTTCTGTTTTCTTTCCTTCTTTCTTTTCTTTTTTCTTTCTTTCTTTACAATGGTTTTTTTTTTTTATCTTTCCTTTTCCTACACATATTCTTCTTTTCTTTCTTTCTTCCTTCCTTTTTCCTTTTCCTTTTCTTTCCAAAAGACATTTTTTTTTATTTTTCCGTCTCCCCACATGTCTTTTCTTCTTTTCTATCTTTCTTTTCTTTCTTTTTCTATCGAATTTTATTCTTTCTTTCTGTCTTTCTTTTTTTTCTTTCTTTCTTTCTTTTCTTTTCTTTTTTCTTTCTTTTTTTTCTCTTTTCCTTTTTATATTCTTTTTCTCTTTCCTTTTTCCTACACATATTCTTCTTTCTTTCTTTCTTCCTTTCTTTCTTTCTTTCCTTTTCTTTCCAAAAGACATTCTCTTTTTTCGTTCTATTTTCTTTTATTTTTCCGTCTCCCTACACATATTCTTCTTTTCTTTTCTTTCTCTTTCCTTTTTCTATCGAATTTTTATTCTTTCTTACTGTCTTTCTTTCTTTCTTTCTTTCTTTCTTTCTTTCTTTCTTTACAAGGGTTTTAGTCTCTTTTCTTTTTTATCTCTTTTTTTCTCTTTCCTTTTTCCTACACATATTCTTCTTTCTTTCTTTCTTCCTTTCTTTCTTTCTTTCCTTTTCTTTCCAAAAGACATTCTCTTTTTTCGTTCTATTTTCTTTTATTTTTCCGTCTCCCTACACATATTCTTCTTTTCTTTTCTTTCTCTTTCCTTTTTCTATCGAATTTTTATTCTTTCTTTCTGTCTTTCTTTCTTTCTTTCTTTCTTTCTTTCTTTCTTTCTTTCTTTACAAGGGTTTTACTCTCTTTTCTTTTTTATCTCTTTTTTTCTCTTTCCTTTTTCCTACACATATTCTTCTTTCTTTCTTTCTTCCTTTCTTTCTTTCTTTCCTTTTCTTTCCAAAAGACATTCTCTTTTTTCGTTCTATTTTCTTTTATTTTTCCGTCTCCCTACACATATTCTTCTTTTTCTTTTTCTTTCTCTTTCCTTTTTCTATCGAATTTTTTTTTTCTTTCTTTCTTTCTTCTTTCTTTCTTTCTTTTCTTTCTTTTTTCTTTCTTTCTTTCTTTACAAGGGTTTTTTTTCTCTTTTTTTTTTTTATCTCTTTTTTCTCTTTCCTTTTTCCTACACATATTCTTCTTTCTTTCTTTCTTTCTTCCTTCCTTTCTTTCTTTCCTTTTCTTTCCAAAAAACTTATTCTCTTTTTTCGTTCTATTTTCTTTTACTTTTCCGTCTCCCTACATATATTCTTCTTTTCTTTTCTTTCTCTTTTTCTTTCTTTCTTTCTTTCTTTCTTTCTCCTTCCCCCCACACATTCTTCATTCTTTGTTTCTTTCGTTTTCTTTGTAACACATATTCTCTTTTTCTTAATTTCTTTATCCTCTTTTTTTCTTCTCTTTCTTAAATTTAAGATTTTTTTCTCTTTTTCTTCTGCGTCCGCTTTTTTCACGCTTTTTCTTTCTTTCTTCTTTTTCTTTCTTTCTTTCTTTACAAAAGTCTTACACTCTTTTTTCTCTGACTTCTTTTATCTTTCGTTTTTCCTACACATACTCTTCTTTCTTCCTTCCATTCTTTCCAAAAAAATAATTCTCTTTCTCGTTCTATTTTCTTTTACTTTTCCGTTTTCCAACACATATTTGTCCTTTCTTTTCTGTCTTTTTCCTTTTTTGTCACAATTTCTTTCCTTCTTTCTTTCTTTCTTTCTTTTCTTTCTTTCTTTTTTCTTTCTTTCTTTTTTCTTTCTTTCTAAAAGTCTTACTCTCTCTTCTTTCTCTCTTCCCCCCCGCATATTCTTCTTTCTTTTTCTCTCGATTTCTTTCTAACACATACTTTTTTTTTTCTTTCTTTCTTTCTTTCTTTCTTTCTTTCTTTCTTTTTCTTTTTCTTTTCTTTCTTTTAAAAAGTCTTCCTCTCTCTTCTTTCTCTCCCCCCATATTCTTCTTTCTTTTTTCTCTCGATTTCTTTTCTAACACATATGCTTTTTTTCTTTCTTTCTTTCTTTCTTTCTTTCTTTTTCTTTCTTTTTTTTTCTTTCTTTCTTTCTTTCTTCCAAAAATTCTTACTCTCTCTTCTTTCTCTCTCCCCCCACATATTCTTCTTTCTTTTTCTCTCGATTTCTTTCTAACACATATGCTCTTTTTATTTATTTCTTTCTTTCTTTCTTTCTTTCTTTCTTTCTTTCTTTCTTTCTAAAAGTCTTACTCTCTCTTCTTTCTCTCTTCCCCAAACATATTCTTCTTTCTTTTTCTCTCGATTTCTTTCTGACACATATGCTCTTTTTCTTTCTTTCTTTCTTTCTTTCTTTCTTTCTTTCTTTCTTTCTTTCTTTCTTTCTTTTCATCCTCCAAATATTTTATCATTTTCCTTCCTTCATATATCCTTTTTTTTCTTCTCTTTCTTTAATTTATTATTTTTTTCTGTTTTTCTTCTGCATCTCCCTTTTTTCCCGCTTTTTCTTTCTTTCTTTCTCTTTCCTCGCCTCATTTTTTTCGTTCCCACTTAGTTTATTAGAGCTTATTTTCAACTCTCTATTGCCAAGTCTATTTACATTTGACGCTGTTACACACTTTTACACAATATACACTGACGCAGGCGGAAACACACACGCCCACACACAAATACACACAGGCAGGATCAACAGATCGCATGCATAAAGTATAGGTTTACGCACGTGTACCCTGGCGACACCTGCACACGCGACTCAGACATACAAATACACACGCATGGATATAGTCAACCATTGACATCACGTGACATATTGACTGAATGATATTTTCATAATGGTTGTAACTGCCATTAGATATTCCCCCTCTTTTTACTGATGTCTTTCTTTTGCGTTCCATCTTTCAAAAGTGCCCCAGTTTTGTTCATGTCTCTCTTCTTAGATATCCTGTCATTTTCCTTCCTTCCTTTCTTTCTTCTTTTCATCCTTTCTTCTTTCCTTTTTTCCTTCCATTCTTCCTTCCTTTTTTAAACCTGTCCATTCGTTTTCCACATGTTTTTGTTTGTCCTTTCTTTCTTTCTTTCTTTCTTTCTTTCTTTCTTTCTTTCTTTCTTTCTAACAGTCTTCTTCTTCTTTCTCTCTTTCCTCCACATATTCTTCTTTCTTTTTCTCTCTATTTCTTTTCTAACACATACTCTCTTTCTTTCTTTCTTTCTTTCTTTCTTTCTTTCTTTCTTTCTTTCTTTCTTTCTTTCTAACAGTCTTACTCTCTCTTCTTTCTCTCTTTCCTCCCACATATTCTTCTTTCTTTTTCTCTCTATTTCTTTCTAACACATACTCTTTTTCTTTCTTTCTTTCTTTCTTTCTTTCTTTCTTTCTTTCTTTCTTTCTTTCTTTCTTTCTTTCTAACAGTCTTCCTCTCTCTTCTTTCTCTCTTCCCCCCACATATTCTTCTTTTTTTTTCTCTCTATTTCTTTCTAACACATACTCTTTTTCTTTCTTTCTTTCTTTCTTTCTTTCTTTCTTTCTTTCTTTCTTTCTTTCTTTCTTTCTTTCTAAAAGTCTTACTCTCTCTTCTTTCTCTCTTCCCCAAACATATTCTTCTTTCTTTTTCTCTCGATTTCTTTCTAACACATATGCTCTTTTTCTTTCTTTCTTTCTTTCTTTCTTTCTTTCTTTCTTTCTTTCTTTCTTTCTTTCTTTCTAACAGTTCTTTCTCTCTTTCCTTCCACATATTCTTCTTTCTTTTTCTCTCTATTTCTTTCTAACACATACTCTTTTTCTTTCTTTCTTTCTTTCTTTCTTTCTTTCTTTCTTTCTTTCTTTTGTTTCTTTCTTTCTTTCTTTCTTACCTTATTCTTTCAGTTTTCTTCAGTTTTCTTGCATTTATGGAACAATTTCTTTCTTTCTTTCTTTCTTTCTTTCTTTCTCAACTTGTTCTTCCATTTTTCATCATTTAGTTCTTGTTTATTCTTGCTTGATTGTTTCTTTCCTTATTTCTTTCTTTCCTTCTTTCTTTCCCTCCTTTCTTCTTTCTTCCTTACATTGTCTTTTCATTTTTCCTCACGCCTTTCTTATTTATTCTTTTTGGTTTTAATCCTTTCTTTCTTTCTTTCTTTTTCTTTCTTTCTTTCTTTCTTTCTTTCTTTCTTACCTTATTCTTTCAGTTTTCTTCAGTTTTCTTGCATTTATGGAACAATTTCTTTCTTTCTTTCTTTCTTTCTTTCTTTCTTTCTTTCTCGCCTTGTTCTTCCATTTTTCATCATTTAGTTCTTGTTTATTCTTGCTTGATTGTTTCTTTCCTTATTTCTTTCTTTCCTTATTTCTTTCTTTCCTTCTTTCTTTCCCTCCTTTCTTCTTTCTTCCTTACATTGTCTTTTCATTTTTCCTCACGCCTTTTTTATTTATTCTTTTTGGTTTTAATCCTTTCTTTCTTTCTTTCTTTCTTTCTTTCTTTCTTTCTTTTTCACTTTGTTTTTTCATTTTTTTTCTGTTTGTTATTCTTTTTAATTTTCATTCTTTCTTTCATTCAGTCATTCTTTCTTTCTTTACTTCTATCGCGTTCATTTTTTCCACTTTTTGTCATTTTATTTTCTTTCTTTCTTTCTTTCTTTCTCACCTTGTTCTTCCATTTTTCTTCATTTAGTTCTTCTTTATTCTTTGATTTTTTCTTTCCTTCTTTCTTTCTTTCTTTCTTTCTTTGTGTTTTCATTTTTCCTCATGCCTTTCTTATTTATTCTTTTTGGTTTTAATCCTTTCTTTCTTTCTTTCTCACCTTATTCTTTCATTTTCTTCATTTCTTTCTTTTTTATTCTTATTTGATTTCTTTCTGTCTTTCTTTCTTTATTTATTTCTTTCTCACCTTGTTCTTCCAATTTTCCTCATTTATTTCGGGTTTATTTTTGTATAAATTCTTTCTTTCTTTCTTTCTTTCTTTCTTTCTTTCTTTCTTTCTAGCAACCTTGGTAGCTCATATAGATACTTAATACCGGCCGCAAGACAATCTTTCTTTCTGTCTAAAAGCTAACCCGTTCATGTATATTCATGTAAAATTTGCAGTACTTTCATGATGTCTCTTTTGTCCAATGCTTACGTACAAAACACGATACGTACTTAACCCCACTTATCGATTATGCAAATCATATACACTCAGATGAGTACAAATTCACACAAAGATATTTATGCATTCGTTTTACTATGACTGGTTGTTTAAAGGGGAACACTCAAAAACGTTGCTCATGCCTGAACTTGAAACGTGGTTATCGGAAATAGGCTTGTTCAACCCTATTTCCTACATTTCACGATTACGGTGACATCACAGTAACGTGGTATATTATCTGTTGTAACCCAGAGAAGGTTACTGAATAGAATAATCAAACGAAGTTTGGTAATGAACGATAATACTTAGGAAAAGAACAACGCATATAAGATTCGCCAGTGGCGCGTAGAAGAAGTAGTCAACTGCTAGAAGTGAGTCAAGTGAATTCCACAATGAATCTCCAACTGCAGACCAACATACAGTATTTACTACTGTATTGATGTGAATGGGGACATACCCATTATTGTCCGTAGCTATGCTACAACAGCTACAATGTTGTGCACATATTTATTCGAGGATTTGTGTGAAATATTGACTGTTGTTCTTTTTTCACCCTGTATAAGGCCCGGGAGTCACTCAGTTATAAAGGGTTATAGAGTAAGAGGTACAGTTTATGCAGATATGTGAGGAAGATAACAGTTAACCATAGACTGGAACAAGTTAAGATTGTAGTGATCGAGGAAGCATCCTCTTCTATTCTTTAGAAATATATATATATATATATATATATATATATATATATATATATATATATATATATATAATGGACTCTCTCCCGTCGGTTTCGACGTATGAGGATCTGACAGCTTAATTGATTCAATTATGAAAGTTTGTGCGATAATCTTAAGTGGCATTTAAGACCTGCTAGTGATTTACAAAGGAGGTAATTTCCTTTCTCCCAGAAACTGACTGAGGTCCGTTCAGCATAGTTGCAGTATAAAACAAAGGCTGGATCTGTGGATGTTGATCAAACACAAATGCGCCTAAGCAGGCGTCTGCAGCAGGGATTGGTAAGCGACCTGAGTAGACCGGTATTATTTCTAGAGAGATTCCCCAACATTAGCACGAAAGCCGTCCATTAGCACGCAACCAATTTTAAATTCAGACTGTGCATCAATGTACGCTACAGAGTTTGGTCTGGCCTGTCACTTATTGTTTCGATCATTTTGTACCCAGCAAGGACATAAAGCCACTAAGACGCAAAAGATTACTGAGTGTTAGAGGATATGAGAAAGATATATTATTAAAGAGAGGAGACAATAAAAGAGCAATAATTAAGAAGACAAACGATAACGAATAACAGTGTATTTAAATTTTTAAGGCATAGTTACAGTAGCATGTAGCCATTTCAACTGTAAAATAATGAAACCTAACCGCCAATCTAGTACTGCGCTTACATTCATAAAGTCTAGAAGAAAGTTCGTCAGAATAATTACTATGAAAGTAATTACAGAAAAGGCTCATGGAAGCTACATTACGGCGGTGGGGAAGTGACTGAAGATGAGATGCCAGGTCAAGACCAGTAACTTTTCAGATTCTTCTTTAGATTTTATGAAGAATCTCAAATATCTAGCAGGAGTTCCAGACGAGATATGGGAGCAATATTCAAAGCAAGAACGAATGGTAAACTTATAAACATGTAAAATAAACGTGACAAATTGGCTAGCTCGACACAGGAACCAACTTCCGTAGCTGCAGTATTGATTCAATATACTCTCTCCAATTTTATATATATATATATATATATATATATATATATATATATATATATATATATGTGTGTGTGTGTGTGTGTGTGTGTGTGTGTGTGTGTTTATATATATATATATATGTGTGTGTATATATATATATATATATATATATATATATATGTGTGTGTGTATATCAGTTGGCCTGACGATTGCGTCTAGCATGAAACAGCCTGTCGCCTCTAAGTGTTGACTTCAATGTTCACTTTTATATTTACACGCTCTATCTGTGATATTGAGCAGTTTATCACATAAATATAGCACACCTTAAAGAGTACATTTCTTCATATATATATATATATATATATATATATATATATATATATATATATATAGATAGATAGATAGATAGATAGATATATTGTCTAAAAATATGTATTCATCATGAAACAGAAATTACCATGTTTCGGAACAAAAAGCTAAACATTAAATTAAACTTAAGATTAAAGTTTTTATTCCATTCTCAAGCGATTTTGATTAACTTTCGAAAAAATTCTGAAAAAAATAAAAGTTTCTGTGTCGCGATGAATACATATTTCTTATAATGAAATTATAATATTATGCTAAAGAACTGTCGATTGTGAATCTGACTGTTCTTTCTTTTTTTTTTATATATATATATATATATATATATATATATATATATATGGACACTGAAGACTACACCGAGTGAGAAGACCGTCTGTTTCATGTTTGGTCTGGTTTCGACTTGTTCAACCAACGTTAGTGTAATTTATGGCATTTCGAATTTCAGGAGAGACGACACGTCCCTTCGAAGCTCTAAGAAATTAACGGACCTCAAACTCAAATGAAAAACCTTCGAATGAAAGTGAAACTTGACTCACTAATGTGAGGCCCAGACTCGATAAAGACATTCATGGTGTTTTTATAGTGTTATCCTCGAGCGCATTGTTACGTGACCGAGTGGTTTAAACTTTCGCCATACATGTTCAAATCACACCATGGTGGATTAGTCAAGAAAGGGACAACTTGATGTCATCGGCCTAGGGAGGTGATCCCAGTGTATGTCACATTTGGAAAGTGCCTGAGAATCATATCACAAGTTGACCTCAAAGCTTTGTTTGTGAAATTTTGCTGATGGAACTATTTGGGAGTCTTCAATGATTGTGCAAGCGGGGGAATTCATGAGATGGATTTCACAAGTGAACGTAATGACTTTCTTTTCCTGTTTCGATAACCGTTTACATTAATTTTTTACATAATTTTGACTCAGCTATATTACATCAAAAATTAACAAAGTATTGTTTGTCTCTGTTATTCACTAATACACGTTTATTGTTCGATGAACTCCCATATCACTTGCAGGTGACACGTGGAAATCCTTCCCAGCTTTGAGAGAGATCTTTTTCATGGTGAATTACAGCGTGTGCATTATCGACTCCGCCCTTTAACACAGGGGTTCACCTGCAGTGTCCCAGCGACACGAGGAGGTGGGAGTAACGACCCGAAATCGTTAGTAATCTAATATAGCTACCTTTGTGGAGAGGGTGCGATTTTCGCTTAGAATACGGAGGTGGGCTTAAAAGTTCATAGACTCACTATGAAGGTGTGATGCTGTAGCAGTGAGATCATACATGCATTAATTTCAAATCTTCTTATTATAAAAAACTGCATTGTTTCTTTCTATGCACGAGAGTCGACTGAAAAGTTTATAGGCTGACTATAAAGCAATGATGCTAGAACTGTGAAATCTTGCATACATTAATTTCAAATCTTCTTATTAATAACTTCACTGTTTCTTTCCAGGTAAACTGACCTCACATTGCACAAAGAAAACTTCAAAAGTTACAAATAGCGACTTTTCTTGTAAATAGGAAAAATTTAGTATCGTGATGTTATAAAGTGCCTGCAGAAAATGGATTTAGCCACCAATAACATTCATGGTGACATGGTTGTTACATTAGGAGATGACGCCCCAGCTTTAGGAACAGTGCTAAAGTGGGCGTCTGAATTTAGGAGGGTAAGTGATGTATCTTTACGATAAATCAACGTCTAGACGTCCTTCCTCTGCCCTAACCGAGGAAATCATTGACTGTGTTCATCACATAGTGATCGATGATAGGTGATTGACTATAAATCAAATATCCAACGTTGTGTATCCCGTGAAAGAGTCGAGGGTATTGATAGCTGAGTTCAATCTAATATTATTATTCAATACTATTCAATACTAATCAATATTTACATCGTTCGGACTGGTGTCTTTATATTTATTGCCATATTCACGACGTTTCTGCCATGTGCGCTCCAGACTTCTTCAGGATCTGCCTATATTTCTGTGATGAGGTCTTGTAATTATTTACATTGTTCGGACTGTTTTCTTCGTCTTTATTGCCATATTCACGATGTTTCAGCCGTTGTACGCTCCGGCCTTCTTCAGGATCTGCCTATATTTCTGAGATGAGGTCTTGTAATTATTTACATTGTTCGGACTGTTGTCTTCTTCTTTATTGCCATCGACGTTTCGGCCGTTGTACGCTCCAGCCTTCTTCAGGATCTGCCTATATTTATGAGATGAGGTCTTCTAATTATTTACATTGTTCGGACTGTTGTCTTCTTCTTTATTGCCATCGACGTTTCGGCCGTTGTACGCTCCGGCCTTCTTCAGGAACTGCCTATATTTCTGAGATGAGGTCTTCTAATTATTTACATTGTTCGGACTGTTGTTTTCATCTTTATTGCCATATTCACGACGTTTATAAATAGTGTAAATAGTTACAATACCTAATCTCGGAAATATAGCCAGATATTCAATATATATAAAAATAAGCTTATATAATATATTTTGATAATGTTCAATATGCTATTACTTTTATATTATTATTGTATCTAAGTACACACACACAAACACACACACACACACACACACACACACACACACATATATATATATATATATATATATATATATATATATATATAAAGAGAAGAGATTAAAGTTGTTCCAAGAGAAAAGTGTATATATTAAAAAGGAGAAACTGCTAACAGAGGGAATATGCGTATGCATACGCGTACTAATATATACATAAAAACACACATACTGGCAAAAACAAGACTGCTCACATGCACACACACAAACCTAAACACACATACGAAGTGTATGTGTATGTATGTGTGTATCCATGTGTATAAGTGTGTGTGTATGTATGTATGTGTGTATATATGCATATGCTAATTCCTTATAATAAGACAGTATGTAGGTATGGAGCGGTAATATACGTATACATACGCATGCTGAGAAAAACAAGCACAATACAAAAAAAAAGGAAATAGATCTAAGAACACACAGGGGTCATTAAAAGATAAAGAATACAGATATCTTTCCTCACACTTTCTCGGACCAGTGCTAATTGTTTTATTACCCTTCACTAAGAAGAACTTTCTTACTGCCAGTTCAAGAAAGACATTTTTATCACTACCACACAAAAAAGAGAATGTTTAACATCGAGAATTCATTTTAATAATATGTAGATATATCCATCTTTGCCTGAAGAAGGTCGTGAGACCCGAAACACTTTTTGCAAAATTATGCAAAATAAAGCATAATATATATTTAAAAAAAGTTTGCGGTTTCTCTCTTCTTTTTTAACACACACACACACACACACACACACACACACACACACACACACACATATATATATATATATATATATATTATTGATAATATTAGTGGTCAATGTATATATATATAAATTCCCAAGAGGATAGAATCCAGGTGTCTGATGAATTGGATTGTAATTACGATTCCAATGTAATAAATTATAACCATGGAATATTAGTGTTATTATATATATATATATATATATATATATATATATATATATATATATATATATATATATATATATATCAAATCGTGTAAAAGCAAAATTATTCATTTGTTAGAGTATGCTTTCAACCGTTGTATCTTAGAAATGATTACAGATATATTACTGGAATATCCGAGGTTTTATAACACTATTGGACATTGGACTCTACTTTGATCAATATGAATGTATAATTACTCTCGAAGCTTCAAAGAAGAATCGTGATTAAATCGATCTTAAACGAAAATGACATGTTCACCACTAATTAGTCATAGCTAAGGATCGGAAAAACATGAATTATTGAAATTAAGTTCGAATATGTATAAATTATTCGGGTATCATTTTCCAACTTATTTAAGATTATATTCGCCCTCCCTAACTTTCTAACTTTCTGTCCCGGAGTAACAAGGTGCCTTACACGTTTCGCGTAAGATTTCAGTTTCAAGTCTTTTTCCACTACACTTTGGACTGTCATAGCTGAAACTCTTCTCTCTCGTACCAAACCTCTTATGGATTGAGTTGGATCTTTTCTAATTGATCTCTTAATTTCGAAATTGAAATGGTGATCCCTCTTCTTGATGTGGCCTCCTGATTCAGTTTTCCTTTCTACTCTTCCCGCTTTTTTAAAACTTATTCACCGTTCTCTTGCTGGTTCTTGAATGAACTTTGAAGATGGAATCCACAGTATGTATGTTGGTAACATTACTGAAGGCTCGAATGAACTTTTTCCTTTCAATATCGCTCCTTTGGAAAGAGAGTGAAGCTGACACAGAAATAATTTGGAAAAAGGATTAGAAAGAAAGAAATCTATATTTTTAAAGGTTTTATTGAAATTTTATTTAAGTTTCCACATGTCCTCCATCATTAGCAATACAAAGGGTAATACGATTTTGCAGTTCACGGAAAACATTTGTCAACTGCTTTACAGTAATGCCTGAAACCACATTAGTTATTTTAGTTATACTTAAAACTAAGTATATCAAACTTTATAACATTTTTTACAGATTATTTCTATCGCAAATACAAATAAAGTTTTAATTTTTTAAAGTGCACACGAACTTTATGAACACCCTATATATATATATATATATATATATATATATATATATATATATATATATATATATATATATATATGGATTTGTGCAACAGTTCAGTTCTCTTTTTTTTTGTTTCAAATAAAATAAAAAAAATATTCATTTGTTAATCATTTGCGTAGTTTTTGGAAGACGTCTTTCGTTATCCCAAATTTTCCTTCTAATTCTGGTGGTCCTTTCTCTATTAAAACATTTCCCACATATTTAAATATTTTAACTGACTTGATTTTGGTATCTCCAACTTGTAATTTACATGTTTGCGTGTTCCATTTACTGAGAACCAAGAATTCTGTCTTCTTGCAAGTGATGATTATTTCATTCTTCTTCGCTTGCTTTCATTATCTCCTGGACACATGGCAGTGGTTAACTTTCTGTGTCTGCTATCAACACTGTGCCATCTGCATATCTTATGCTGTTAAGATTGTGACAGTCAGTACTAAATCCTGGTAGGACTTATAGTTCTCTCAGAATCGCTTCACTATATAGCTTGAATAAGTCCGGTAAGAAAACACGTCTTTGTCTTACACATCTTTCTATTTTCGTCTATTTACTGTATTCATTTTCTATCCGTATGCAGGCTTCTACAAGAATCCTTGCAGTTTTCTTTTCTGTGCCTCTTATCAAGACTTTGTTCTATCAATATATTTAAATAGGAATATTCAGATACGAACCGATTCGAACGAGAATTATTTTAGATATTTTAACTCTCCCCGTTTCTTCTTCATTTTGAATTTCTTCCGCCATTTTTTTTTTAAAAGAACCTTTGAATCGAAATTTATAGTTTACTAAAGAAAGTTAAAACGGTTCCCAGATTTTAGTTTTTGATGTAATATTTTCCCTGGAGAATAAGAAAAGAGAGTCAGCCATTTTGATTGTTTTGTTAAATCGCATTAAAATTTATATGCGCCCATTTTCGATTCGCTCTTTTGGTGCGGTTTCTCTTGTTGCAATACAAAACGCCGGCAAAGTTTGATTAACATCTGAAAAGGGTCTTCACGTCTGATGATAAGGAATGTTGCTTTGTGATGTCAGTCATGTTTTCCTATATTTGTCTTGTACATTATTGACTTTTCGCGTTTTCTTCTTCGCTTCCTTTCAGGCATTTCTTTCTTTTCAACACGTTGCTGATTTTTAAATTCTTTTCACGCTCCACCCGCTGCGCCATCTTGGTCTTCATCGATATTATTATTATTATTGTTGTTGTTGTTGTTATTGTTGTTGTTGTTGTTGTTGTTGTTGTTCTTCTTCTTCTTCTTCTTCTTCTTCTTCTTCTTCTTCTTCTTCTTCTTCTTCTTCAATTGATGTTAACCCACCCAGTGTGATTGAATTAAGATGTTAGAAATGAAGAGAATATGCAAAAAGTAAGAGAATAAGAAAGAAAGGAAGGAAGGAAGGAAGGAAGGAAGGAATCGGTACAAGAAAGAAAAAAAGCTAGAAAGATAGAAAAAGAAAATATGGGTCAGAAAGAAAGGCGTATACCTGAAAGAAAGAAAGAAAGAAAGAAAACTATCGAATATATAAGTGAAAAAATAAAGAATTTTAGAAAGACAGAACGAGAAATAAATATAGATAGATATGAAGACAATGAGATAGATAGATAGATAGATAGATAGATAGATAGATAGATATGAACAGAACACGATAGATAGATAGATAGATAGATAGATAGATAGATAGATAGGGAAAGATTGAGATAGATAGATAGATAGATAGATAGATAGATAGATAGATAGATAGATATGAACAAACTGGGATAGACAGATAGATAAATAGATAGGGACAGACCCTGATAGTAGATCGATAGATAGATAGGTAGATATAAACAGACTGATACAGACAGCCAGATGATAGATAGAGGTATAACAGAATGGAATAGATAAATAACAAAATGTGATAGATAGATAGATAACAGAATTATATATATATATATATATATATATATATATATATATATATATATATGAATTTGAATGAAACCTGTCGGATAATTTATTGGGGCTGTTATAACGCGTCTTCCTCAATGTAGCCGTTATCGCCCACCCCTTAACCACCTTTATCTAGAGACGAGACGCGTTAGATTAGACCAACATCCAGCCGACACACACTGAGGTTAAAATAGAAAACTAAAATGATACATATGGCACACTCACATCCTCTCTCCCACCTCACTTCGTTAACTTTGCGTATACTTGATGAGTTCCGTAAAAAACCTGTGAATTGTCTTTTCATCCTTCATTTCATTCTTCATTTCAGCTTTTGGAAGTAAAATCTGATGATCCCGAACCCTGTTAAAGGGGTTATGGTGAAATAGCTTATTACATGGAATCTTAACGTGGTCTGTCTTTTATTCAAACATATCTGCTCTGAATTTTACATTGAGCTCTCTGGATATCATCCTCCTCAGGTCTACCCATACGGATTACCTAAATTTGAATAAACTAACTATATATATATATATATATATATATATATATATATATATATATATATATAGAGAGAGAGAGAGAGAGAGAGAGAGAGAGTCAGACAGACAGATAACGGAGCGAGATAGATAGATAGATGGATGGCTGAATTATATATATGTGTATATATAAAGAGAGAGAGAGAGAGTCAGATAACGGAGTGAGATAGATAGCAGAATGAGATAGATAGATAGATAGATAGATAGCAGAATGAGATAGATAGATAGATAGATAGATATTGTTTCTTTCTTTTACCTGCTATCTTTGTTCTGTTTTCGTTTTTCCTTCTTTTTTTTTATTTTCATCTAGCGTTCTTGTCTCTCTCCCGATTCTATCTTCCCCACCCGCTCCTCACACTCTCTATTTGGGTTGGCCTCATCTATATTGCCCTCCCATTTTTGTCCTCTTCCCATCCAAATGTGCATTATATCTCCCACTTGACCCTCTTCAGGATCTTATTCCTACATCTCCTTATCTAGTTCCACAGAAGAAATCAAATGAACAGGAACCCATTCGATTAACAAACCCGCCATGTTTAACTAAAAGGCTCTCAACTGTCCACTATAAGCATACAAGATAGCGGAGTCTTGTCTTTGGTCAACTGCCTTACGTCTAATACGGAAGATAAACTTATTGATTTTACAATAAATGAATAGCAAGCTAAGTGTAGTTAATGGATTGCATATAATTGATTTTAAGTTGGGCCCATCGTATAATTGTTCTTTTGGCGGGCTGTGACTTGATGGGAAAATCTCAAGAGGAAAGAACAGTCGTGTTTGCGAACAAATAGCTGACATGTTATAGACGGAGACAGATTTACCTGCCGACTGATTTCAAGCTTACCTGATACTGGCACATCTTTACAAGTCTAGGGCACCTAGTGAGTATTGCTCTCATTAAAGTATTTACATCCCAGCCAAGAAGATTTTGTTTTCTTTTTTAAAGAATCATTACTGCTCCGTTTGCTCTCTGTGGACCAGCGTTCCAAAGCATGCCGTAACAAAAGGTGCTTTATCCCAGAATCGATAGACGCAGGTTCAAACCCTGTCCGAGAGCGCTAGTTCTCTAACAATTAATATTTCCCGGGTTTTGCAATCCGGTAGATGTGATACGCACTGTTTCAAAGAAAAACTATTGGGCGTCACTTTCAAATACGAGTATCCATTACAATAACATTTGAAATAATAAAAAGGTTGGATTAAATATAAATCCATTATTTCTTTAGAAACTGCTTTGTTTACGTTTCGGATACGAAACCAAACAGTTATGGGCCTTTGACAAAAATAATCTGTAAGTGAAGGTGGGCTTTCCTTAAAAGGGAAAACAGAGCCTTGCAGGACTGTGGTATACACACACACACACACACACACACACACACACACATATATATATATATATATATATATATATATATATATATATATATATATATATATATATATATACATATATATATATATATAGGGCATATACATATATATATATATATATATATATATATATATATATATATATATATATATATATATATATATATATATATATATATATATATATATATATATATATATAGGCATATATATATATATATATATATATATATATATATATATATATATATACATATATATATATATATATATAGGGCATATATATATATATATATATATATATATATATATATATATATATATATATATATATATATATAAGTGAACATTATAGTCAACACTTAGAAGCAGCAGTCTGTTTCATGCTAGATGCTGGCCTGACGATTGTGCTCACTTTTATATTTACACACGCTCTATCTCTGATATTAGCACTTTATTCCATAAATATTGCACACCTTAAGACTGTATTTCTTCATATATATATATATATATATATATATATATAGTAACTGGCCACTAGTATTCGAGGATATGTGAAAGATCCAAATAACAGAGTACAATTTATGAATTCACCTCCTTCACTGTGTTACTGATCAAACTAAATTCTTAAATGATTATATCAGTGTGATGGCATCTATTTTCTTGGAATTTCTCGAATCTGGTTCTTTCCAACACATTTTACCGAAACAATCAACAATCGATATATTGATGATACTCTATTAATAAGTCCCTTAATACTAACTTGCCGGATCTTGTAGATAAACTAAACAAAGTCGGACACACAATAGAACTTACATACGAAATAGAAAAATACAATGATTTACCTTTCTTTGACATCATGTTACACCGAGTTGACAACAGCCTAAAACTTAGTCTCCACTGAAAATCACTCAGTAAAAATGATATAATAAACTTCTATTCCCATCTTAACAACAAAATAAATCAGGAATGACCATTGAATTCTATTTAAGAGCATTAAAAATATGCAGCCCTCAATATTAACACGAAGATAAGAAATATATTGAAAATACATTCAAGATCCTTCCATGGCCTATTTCCTATTTAATGCGAAACAAAAGGCTCTGTCTATATTTCTGAGATGATTTATTATGTACATTGTTTACATTATTCGGACTATTGTCCTCGTCTTTGTCGCCATATTTATTACAACGTTTCGGCCGTTGTACGCTCCGGCTTTCTTCAGGTGGTTGGAATGTCGAACTGAACCAAGCCATCACTCTGCCAATGAGCGCCCAGAACCCGCCAATAAAAATGGCTACAAGCAGCACCACTACCTCTATCAACATAAGTGCTGCCCGATTCACTGTCCGTCCGAAGCTCGTCGCTTCGCCGTCTTCACACTCCCTTGAAAACATACACGCTACTCTGGCCCTTTTGGGTCACCGAGGTAAGTCACCGCTACAAAAGTCCAGAAATTGCTCCACTTCCTAGTTATTGATGCTCGGTATTTCATCTAAACGATCTTATATCGGGGGTCAAGGGCGGCGTTCCAATCGCCCGCTAAAACTACCCAACGAAACGTCATCAAAAATGAAAAAAAAAACAGGTTGCTCTGCATGATCATTAAGCGCATAAATTGCAATGAGACGAAATGACTTATCCTTTATGGTAACACCCAGTAGCCAAGCCTGTCTGCGGGATCTGCGAAGACAAGAGCGCACGTCGCATTCAAAGACTTGCTCGCTTACCAGTATACACCTCTCGAGTGTCCATCAAGACATGCTGAATAGATGACAAACCTCTTAGACAGAATGTATTCACAGCCCCAAGACACTGAAAATTGCGAGCGAGACTCATACCGTATTCACGGTTGGGAGGTGTATACCAGGTCTCTTGTACAGAATATACGTCCACACCAAGACGCTGAAGAACGCGAACAAGAATCGCTCTTCGAGTCTCCGACCTCCGGCCTCGGAATTTATACTAGCCAAGCAGAGACATGATCAGTCCCATTAGGGTTGGGGATCTGCATTAAACTTGATCAAAGTAAGGACACCGATAACTTGTCCCATTGAGCCTTGACCCATCTTAATTTTGATAGTGCTGTCAAGAGACGGGCTAGCAATATCCCACAGGAATGTTAACATAAGAGCTTTATATAGAGGGGCGAGTTTACAAAAAGAGAGAGCCTCTCTGAAAAGTATTGATTCAATCTTTTTACATTATCGTCAGAGGAGGGAATGTACTAAAGGCGCCATTCGCTTCCTGAAGCATAGCTCGTATTTGATGGGATCAATTTCTCGATTGAACCACTGTCAGGACACTTCTAGCTTTTGGGAAGCTTGGGGAAAATTCTACATCCTTGGTATTGACATCCTTAAGATTCAATAAATGTTCTAGGTCTTTTATCTCTCTTGTTGAAGTTCTTTTCTGCCTCGACACACGTCTTCCCCAGTGTTAAAAAGTAGTTTAGAATTAATTTTCTTCTCTGAAGAAGGTCCCATGGTGTCAAATGAAGAGCTTCGCTGCCTTTTTTGTCGATCTGGTTTCTTTTGGGGGAGAATTTATAGATCTATGTGTAGGAGATGGATTGGGCGTGGTTGAAGGTGTGGTCTTTCATTTTGCTGGTCATTTTGTAGATGGACCCTTTTTGTGGCTGGAAATATTGCAGGGAGGTGGTGCTATGGCAAGATTTTTTTTTAATTATTATTATTCATGGAGAAGACGGTTCCGGGAAAGAGAGGTCCAAATTTCGCACTGCTGATGCTTGAATTTTCCTTGTTTTAAGGATTCCTTTAATATTTCTAATTTCTTATTTTCAAAACGTGGCGCGTACTTGAGACGCTGATTCCTGTTTGTTTCTGCGTACCTGGCTGGGTACTCGCCCTTGAAACTGGTAGAGAGAGTAAGACTATACGTGTCTTTACCCGTGGGAGATTCCGTGGACTGTAGTCCTACTGTCCGGAGCTTTCTTTGTGTCTTGCCAATGACCAGCTATTCCCCCTATTCTTTCTCTGCGACCACACAAGCAGCTGGCAAAGGGCTTTCGGGAAATGGGGACCGCGCATTGGATCCAACCGGGACGGGGTGGGGGTCACCACACCGGTCCCAATCGTTGGCATAATTATCAAAGACGAGACGGAAATAACAGACTCGTCCAGAGATGGACTTGGGTCGGTGGGGGCCAGAACTCCAGAGGACTACTTCTCTGGGCAGGAAGAAATATGACCAGTTTCTCCATACTTCCAACAGGATGGTTTATGACCGGTCACAATGACCGTCATTTTCTGGCCCTCTTCATCCAGACACTTCGGGAGAGAGATGAAGGCTTTTCGATCTAGCATTATCTCAAAACAGGTCGTGAGAGATTAGCATTGAGTATTTGACCATATCGGTCCAGATAACCGTGAAGGTGTTCTCCTAAGCCCCCAAGGAGGAACCACGTATACTGATACTAATTCCCGGTGGATTGTAAGGATTTTTGCGATGACATGTCGACTGTAGGCGTCCTTACAGTCTGCACGCGTGTGTAAAAGTGCGTCCCACATGAAATAAGCTTTATATTTGATGACTCTTTGGGTCGAAAGGACATTATAGTAACCTTTACATTTGATCCCCTAGGGGCGTCAACAATTTTACGGTGTCTTTTGTGGAGCGACAAATTTTGCACGGACGTTTATCGACCATAAAGTCTGGCACAATTCTTTTCTCAACACTCTGTAATTCCTCGGGATCTACCAAGAGACAATCTTCTTTGATTCGTAACTATTGGCTCTCTCCCGGAACACCTCTATGCTCTTCGGGGGCGGAGGGCTTCTAGCTGAAGGGCAATTCCCCAACCGATACATTATCTTTGTTGCTGTACTTCACATTCTGGTTTGACTTGTTTTCGGTCGAGCTACTTTTTCCGTATTCGGAATTTACACCATTTGAGGCCACCATACTTGGTTCATCTTTCTTTTGGTCGTCGCTGGTAATGTCCTCCGAGTTTTATTTCTTTATTAGGCGGTTTCTTTTCTTTTCTTTTTTTTTAACCAAACAGTTTCTTTATGGCAGCCGACTTTTGTCGGCCATTTTTTTTTAAGATTATAACTTTGTTTTCTTTTAATTTTTTTTGTGTAAGCATAACTAGGCCTTCTTTTTTTTTAAAAAAAAAAAAATAAACAATCGAAAAAAGAAAAAACAAACAGTAAAAATTAAATAAGACACAAATTAAAGTATTTCTACAAAGGGTGAGGAGGAATAAAAATAAAAGTAGTTTGATGTACAGAAACAATGAAAAACTAAATTCGGGAAGACAAAAACTGAGTTTACCAGCTGACGAAGGAAATTACAAAAAAAATTTCCGTCCTGGGTAAGACGATAAACTACGTCCAACAGCAAGGCCCTTGATCAGGAGGTTTTTAGGAGCGTGGAACTACCTAATAGCTGGTATTCCCAGGTCCACCCTGACCTGGGATCGTAGCACCTGTTAGGGTCCCATCTATGGGCAAATAGTTTACCCCA